GATTGAACCCAGCCACTGCATCTGCCTAAGCAGGCACTTTAATCCACTGAGCTATTTGGCCAACCCTTGGAGAGTTGTTTCATGTCTTAATTACTTTTCTCATTGCTGAGACAAAATATCCAACACCCAAAGTTAAAGAAAAGGTTTATCTGGCTTGCAGTTTGTAAAGATTTCAATTCTACAAACTCATAGTTGAACTCATAGTTGGTTGGCTCCAGTGGCATGGCAGAGGGGCATTACAGAGGAAAAATAGTTCATGGTGGGAAGAAGGCAGCAAAGTAGAGAAGCTGCAGCCACAGCAGTAGCAACAGCAGTAGCAGCCTGCCTTTCCCATTTTATCTCTTCCATGCTACCTGCCCTTTTTGTGGTCCACCACATCCAGGGTGGACCCTCTATACCCAGAACTATGCCAAATCAATCAGTGGATTTATTTATTTATTTATTTAAATTATTCATGTATTTAGTACAGGGTCTTGCTGTGCAGCTCAGACTCATAGTGATCCTCCCCAGCACTGGGATTACAAGTGTGCACTACCATACCCAGTCTCAGTTGTCTTCTCAGCCTGCCCAACGGGGAAGCGGCATGGCACGCCAGGGATAGAACGTCACTAGTCTACTGAGCTATCTGGCCAGCCCCCCAGTGTACTAATTTAAAGATGGAGTTTTGGGGGGGGTGGTACTGGGAATCAAACTCGGGACCTTGTGCTTGTCAAGCAGGCACAAGGCACAGTTGCCATCGAGCCCAGTGGACTAATTTAGCAATCATAAACACCTAACACCAGCATCACACACCATGATTCAACCACCTCCAAAAAGCCCCACCCCCAAAGGCATGAGGCTTTAGGGGACATTGAGCCACAAGCTATAACATCTGTGATGTCACTTTGGGGATATCTAGGAAATTAAATAGTGAGGTCTCAGAGGAGCTACTGGAATCAGAGGTGAGTTCACTGTACAAGAGAGAGCTGAGGAGAAGCACCAATTAAATGAAGGTTTGCTGTATTTTCCTGGTGTAGTCTGATAGAAAGAGCCCTGAACTGGAATTCAGGAAATGTCATCTAGTTATTTTTTTAAAATTATTTATTTATTTGTTTATTTGTGTGTGTGTGTGTGTGTGTGTGTGTGTGTGGCCAGCTCAGCCCACCAGGGGGCGGGGCTGGCTGGCATGTGGTGCTGGGGGATTGAACCGTGGTCCCTGTGCTTTGCTGAGCTTGTTCTAAGTAGGTGCTTTAGACCACTGAGCCACCTCACCAGCCCCTCTAGTTATTATTAGAAACAAAAATCTCCATGTCAAAGAGGACTGAGGCAGATGTGGTGGTGCATGCCTGTAATCCTAGTACTTGGAAGGCTGAGGCAGAAGGACCACCATGAGTTGAAAGCCAGCTTGGATTAGTTAGTCAGTTTAAAGCTGGTCCTCTATTTAAAAAATAAAAATTATTTGGTTGCAAATAGCAAAGACCACTAACGCCAGGTTGAAGAACAAGGGCCTAAGGTCCATATGCATGTGCCCTGAGAATTGATTGTTGTTGATTGCTAACTGTCCCTCTCTCATAAAATCTATGCTTTCCCCTGCAAGTTATTCACTTTTATCATTCTTAACTGCCCTACATGTTCTCTATTCCAGACCCTGAAGGGATTGGATTGGCTTTGCTGGTAACTACCACTCCATTAGGTCTGGTGTCCCTTGGCCTGCCTTTCTACACTTCTATGTAAATACCGAATTACTAGAGTAGAATAACCTCATCTATATAAAAAGATATTGAGTGTAACAAACACTGTGTAATGTTTTATGTATCTGATCATTCCATTCCTTTCCTCTGTGCCTCAGTTTCTCCATCCGTAAAATCAGCAGTTCATGATTCCAGTTTCTAGGTGTAGTGGTTCTGTGAATGGGTCAGAGATGTCCTTGATACTCTGTACAGGATTAAGCCAGTTGAGTGATGGCCATGGATGCAGCCATCCTGTCCTAGCTTCACTGTCATGATCACTGTGTGCATGTGTGTCAGAGCAAAGGATCATTTGGAGTTTGTCTAGAGAAAGTGCACAATCACTGTTCTCTCTCAGGTTTCATGCCCTGTATACAATAAGAGGAACTGTGAGGTCATGTCACTTGTGCCCTAAAGATATCATGTGAGTCCTCAGCTTGAGTACCCATTCCTTCACTGTCCTGTTTACCTGCTTTTCTGCTGGCCCACCTATTTACCCTGTCAGTCCTGACCAGCATGGAGGACACACTAGAATCATGAGCACCAGTGTCTTACCTCTGGCTGAAAGGTTAACCCATTAATTACTCATTCAGCTGCAGGATCTAAGGAATTGAATGCCTCTGACCTTGCAGGGGGCAGCCCACGGGAGGCCCATATCAGGTGCTCAGGATTTTCTTGATGAACAAAAGGAGCTAAAATGACTATTGTACTGTTTGGTTCAAGGCCTTCGTGTTTAGGCAGGAAAAACACCTCTCTCATCCAGCTGAAGATCTCTCTTGGAAACTTAGCCTTTGGGGTCCACTCTGGAATCCCAAGTTTGAGCTCCTCCCATCTACCTCAAGGATAGTAGAGCCCTCCTAGCTTTGGGATGGAGTCAAGCCTGGGATGACCCAGCTTTGGCCCTCTTTGCCAGGATGCTCACTATCGCACAGCAGAAAGATTTATTTTTTACCTGAATTTCACAGTGTGCTCTCAGGCTATACCCTGGAAACTTCCAACCCTGGTATAACCCCCTAATTGCTTATGTGGCTTAGTTACTATCTTGTTGCTAGGACAAAATACCCAACACCCACATGCTATTGGAGTGAAGATTCATTTTATCTTATTGTTTGTAGATGTTTCAGCTGATAGATGGCTCCAAGGCAGGGTGGCATGACAGGGGAGAAGTGGTCCATGGCATGGCACGTAGGAAGCAGCAACCTTTTTTCTTCTCTCTTTTGTTATTCCATCCAGGCTATAAGAGTATAGGTTGGTGCTGCCCACACCCAGGGTTGGGCTTCCCTCTTCATTAAGTCCATTATCTACACCCAGAGCTGTACTATACCAATCAATGGACTCATCCAGTATCACATACCCATGATCCAGTCACAACCAGAACTCCTCCTTTGAGTGCATGAGGCTTTGGGGACATACAGATATAAGTTATAACAGTGGCCTTCCTCCAAAGTGATTTGGGGAGTCTAAGAGGTGGTGAAGATTAGACCCAGGAAAGGAAAGTAGGCTACCACAGAGACTTGCTCTAGTGCTCATGCCAGGTTGTCTCAGATTCCAACTGTATCTTTCTAAGGCCAGCCTCATTCTTGGTGGCTTCCCACTCCCAGTGAGAGCACAGATTGTGTAGGCTCTTTGCCTGGGGCAGGGATACATGGATGGGATTGTAGCTGAACTCGTGCCATAAGCTCAGGGACTTCAATATATACTGTCCCTGGGCTAAGCCCAGATGTTTACCTTCTTACGTGAGGGACAATCTTTAAGAAATAAGGATAAGATGTTCTCTCTAGAACATCTCAGAAAAACCAATCAAGTTGGGATTGCTTTCCTTGCTCCTTCACATGGGCTGCATATCTGAAGACTGGTTAGTTTGTCCTGAGGTCCTAGGCCCTGTAGTTGCTAGGGACAAAGAAGATATCCCTGAAAAAGGGAAGGTAGAGCCAGCGAGATAGCTCAGTAGACTAAGTGCTTACTTAGGCACGCCCAGAAACCTGGGTTCGATCCCCTGCACCACATGCGGGCCCAGCTCTGCCCCAAGGCATGGTAAGCCAGCCACTTAGACCAAGCATAGTGGTACGTGCCTATAATCCCAGCTTTGGGGAGGCCGGGAGCACAAGGATCACTGTGAATCTGAGCTGTGTATTGAGACCCTGTACTAAATACATAAAAAGGGGCAGGGGAGGTGGAAAGGATTCTCATATTGGCCAAAAGGCTATCTTGGTTCAGGTTGCCTTAGCCAAAGAACACACTAGCCTGTCCATCTTGGCTCCTCTAAATTTGGAGAAGAGGTTGGAGGGGTCTGGACTGGTGGCAGGAGAACTGGTCTCAAGGGCTGGGACTGTGTGCTTTTCAATGACTGCATGTCATTGCTGCATACAGGTACCAAGTATGTAAAAAATGAGACAGGCACATTCTCTTGACTTGTGGCAGGTGAGAAGGTGGCCCTCTGCTGAATGGTCCATTGTTGACCATCAAAAGCTCTGTCCAAGTTGAGTGGGCTTGTGGAAACCTGAATGGCCAGGGACTTCTAGGTTTAAGGTGCCAGAGTGCAGGCTGCAACATGGGAAGATGTGTATAGGTGACTAGTGCGGGACTCACTAGAAAACTGTATGTTGGGCTATGGAGATGTCTAAGTGTGTGCGTGGCAAGCACAAGGACCTGGGTTTGATCCCCAGCATTGCATGCTGTGCTGGCGGTAGAACCCTGGGCATGCCATGCTGGCCACTAAAACTGGGCATGGTGGTGCACGCCTCTAATCCCAGCATGGGAGAGACTGAGACAAGAGGATCACTATGAGTCTGAGCTGCATAGCAAGACCCTGTACCAAATACATAAATAATCTTTCTTTTTTAAAAAATGTATGTCCTTAGAGGAAGAATTGAGGGGACATAAGCATTGTCCAGACATCTATGGGCCAGCAGCCTGCCTGTGAGCCAGACAGCCAGACCAGCTTGGAGTACTGCTCCTTCCCAAGCCACACATACTCTTCCCTTAACAACTCTTTGAACCTGTGTCTCCCTTTCCCGTAATCCTGGGAGAAAGATTAAGGAGAGTGATGATTTATACTCAGGTAAACCAGGTTATATTCCCTTGTTGTTGAATTCTTCCCTGAGCCCTGAGAAGGAGGAGACCAAATCTCATTATTGAATTTCACAGTCAGAGAAGGTAAAGCCCAGACAGGAATCCCATGCTCTCTGACAAGTAGAGCAGGACAGGGTTTGCCCATTTGTGGGGTAGGGCAAGGGGACCTCCAAGGCAGAGCAGATGGATCCTCCAACCATAGCCACCTGTCTTCCCCGGTAGATGACTTCATGAAACAGAGCCGGGGAATGCTGCTGCTCTACAGCTTGAAGAACCCCAGCTTCCCTGAATACATCTTCAGCAGTGAAAGTGGCATCATGTGTCTTGACATACATGTGGATCACCCCTACCTGGTGGTGGTGGGCCACTACGATGGCAACGTGGCCATTTACAACCTCAAGAAGCCCCAATCCCAGCCTTCTTTCCGCAGCTCGGCCAAGTCTGGAAAGCACACGGACCCTGTTTGGCAGGTCAGCCTCAGCCCAGGATGGGAGCAACATGTGGGCCTAGGAGCCACTAGAGGGAGGACCTTGGAGAGGAGAGGGCCACAGGCTAGAGATGGAGATGACAGGTACCAGATTAGAGGCCAAAGAGCAGGGTATGAAAAGGGGTGAAGAAGGGCAGGTAAGAATCAGAGGGTAGGAAAAGGGTCTCCAGTAAAATCTGGGTCAGCTGTCTGGAAGATAGGAAGATTCCATCTGCCTGCTGAGGGAGGAGCTCCTCCGCATGGCACTCAGAAATTCAAGAGACCAGGAAGCTGCCAGGGTCTGACAGGCTACAGCTGAGCTTTTGTGCTCTAGATCATTATCTACAGGCTTCCTCCACTCCTCCCAGGGGCTGTCCTCTGCCATCTGGGCTAGATTTGGGGAAGCTTCCAGACAGGGCTTGGTAGTTCTGTTTTCCTGTGCTCTGAGTAGAGCTGGAAGGCAAAGTCTGTCCTTGAGCCTCTGTGCAGCACTTCTCCAAACAGCCTAGTGGGGTGGGCTGGGCTTCTTTCATAGTGTGAAACTATCCTGGGACTAATACCAGAGACAGGTACTAGATTTCGCCTTGATCTTGTGTCTCCCATCTTATTCCCCTGGGAGTAGGTTTCACAGTTGACCCTCTCAGAGGGTCTCCTAGCTCAGGCTTTGTAGGCTGTTCCTTACCATCCTAATAGTATGGGGGACAGGGAATGCAGATCTGTGCGAATGTAAGAATGGATTTCTGCTTCAAGTTTCCCAAATATCTAGGTTCATCAAGCAGCACTGGGGCTCTCTCTGTTTTCTTATCTTTCTCTGCCTTTCTGGCCTGATAGTCTCCAAGAAGGCTCTGTCTACCTCTTCTGGCCCTGAGCCCCTGAGACATATGGTCACCTTCTCCAGGCACTGAGTCTGAGCTCCTATTTAGGCCTGATCCGAGAGAGAACTACCCAGGCGCAGGAGACATCATGCTGTCTCAGAGTCATACTCTAACAAGAGTGTGGGGCAGATGGTGGGAGAGAAGTGGAGCCCTTTCTGACAATTCCTTCCCCCTACTCTCCACAAAGCAAAGACAGAAGTTACAGCCTCAAGAGTGCTTGCTACCAGAAAGTCCACCTCCCAACTCATTACCTCCAGGCATCTGCAGGTCTCCAGACATCAGAGGAATGTCTGTAGAGATAGTAACACCCAGTGAAAGGAAAACATAGCTGCCCTCTCATCCCTGCCCTAGCTTTCCCAACTCAGAGCCAAGCACAGAGCATGTCTAGATGACCTAACCACCAATATCAACTCCAGGAGAGGGAGAGAGGCCCAGACCACTACTACTACTACTGTCTTGTGTTCTTTAAGTCAAATAGCACATTGGAGGTAAAGAAGGATACAGAGAAAAATAAGTTTCCCTTTCACTGGATAGTTCCCAGGAAGACTGGAACTCACCTGGGTAGGCGTGGCCTTCTCACCCACTGTCCTGTCAGAAAAATAGAACAGCTGCCTTTGCAAAATAGAAGATCATTGTTGGCTGCAGTCATGGGATATGACCTGGAAGGGACCTAGCTGTCACCTATTCATCTCCTCATTTCCTGTTCTCTTTTTTTCTCTCATGCTCTCTCTCCCCTCCTCCTTCATTCACTCTTTCATTTCATAACCAACTCTTCCCTATTTTCTTTCTGTTTGCTAAGGATGCTTAAGGGCCTAGTCTCTGGAGTTCCAAGTAGGAAGATAAATCACAACCACAGGCTGCCCAGGCAGGGTAGGATGCTAAGTGCTAGGGTAGAAGTGTACATGAAAGTAGATTCATATTGTTTTGGGTGGAGACTAGGAGAAGGAGGGCCAGGCAGATCTTTATAGAGGAAGCAATGCTTGAGCTGAATTGTGAGGAATAAAAAAGTGTGAGGTTAAAAAAGGCACAAAGGGTGTCTCATGTGCAGTGACATGAAGCTTCAAACAGAATGGCCTGTTGGGAAACAATACATCATTCAGAGCATGTATGAGACAGGTGGAGAGAAGCAAGACCTAAGGAAAGGGCAGGCACCCAGCATGCTTAGCCATCAAGTTAAGAAGCTTGGACATTATAGGTCAGTGATTTTACACAAGGTATTAATACAGGAACACAATATGGTAAAAAGATAAGAGTGGAGCTGCTTTGGTAAGATTAAGGCCCTATCTGTTTAAGAGTCCCCTGTTATTTCTCCTGTCCCCTGAAGTACATTCCCAAGGCTTCTAAGATTCCCCCTGAACACAGTTTGGAAATTGCAGCTCAATCATTAGGGGGCTTGAGTGGAAGAGTAACCATCAAGATTGTGTGTTGGAGGAAAGACCCCAGGCTCCAGCATGAAAGATTACTGTAGGCTGCATAAGATGGGGAATGGAGATGGAAATGAGGAAGAAAGGGAGAAGACCTGTTGGGGCAGTGAAATCAATAGAGGGCTGAGGAGATAGCTCAGTGGAATAAGTGCTTGCCTGGCAAGCACAAGGTCCTGAGTGTGATCCCTGGTACCACACATACACACAAAAAAAAAATCAACAGAAAAAATACTGGTATATGCTTATAATCCCTGCACTTGGTGCACTTGGAATGTTGAGGCAGGAGAATCGCTGGGAGTTCAAGGCCAGCCTGAATTGCATAGTGAGACCTTGTCTCAAAAAGGGAGGAAAAAAAAAATGCTGGAAATGATATAACAGGCTTGGGGTGCCCAGTAGGGCAAAAATGGCAGATGCACAGATTCACTAGATGATAAGGCAAGAAGCCTGAGTGACACCAAGGAGGTTTCTAGGCACTTGGACATAAAGCCTAAAAAGTGAAGGAGAGAAATGGTCAGGCTGGTGAATGAGCACTCAGGTCCTTCATAAAGGGTATGTGTCCAAGGTATTTAGGGAAGACCAGAGAGGTTGTTTTGGATCTCATGTGCCAGGTTGGGGCAGAAGTCATCTGTCCATTGGCAACAGGGAGCCATGAAAAGTTTCAGAGCCAGGATAAAATTGTTGTGTATTAAGAAGATTAGATTCCTGTCCCATAAGAGAGGCTACTTCCCCAGGGAACCTCCCTGGGTAGCTCAGCCCTGCTTAGGCACTACTATGAAGCCTCAGCCAGCAATGGGTAATGTGTTTCATGCAATTCTGGGGAAGGGAGTGGGAAGGATGTACGAACAAAAGCTAGGGACAGGCACAGAGGAGGAAGGAGAAAAGGAGGGACAAGTTAAGCAGGCTCCTCTTGTGCTTTCTGCTCCTTGGGTATTCATTCATTGCCTTAACTCTACTTACTACCCTCCTTCTGCTTTATTCCTACCTGTCTAGGAGCAGTGTGTGACTTGTACACACACACACACACACACACACACACACACACACACACAGAGAGTCACTTGCAAATACATGCCACACCCCACTGGGCATCAGGCTGCTAAGTGGGGTGTGAAATACAATTGCCATGAATGCTGGAGTCTGCTCATTAAACACTTCCCTTTGCAGCTCCCTAGTGCCTCTTACAGCCTGGCCTTTGACACCCCTTATTCCTGCTCTGCTTTAAAGGGACCACCTTTACCCAAAAGGGGAAATGGGCTCAATATCACAGAGGGCTCTGCCTTATGCCTGACAGACTCTGCGGCTTCTGGCTCCCCAGTGAAAGTGCAAAAGAGACCACTGACCAGACAGGCTGAGGCAGGACTCAGCCCGCCCTCCTTCAGCTCTGATCTGTCAGGCCTGGGAGATGGTTGGGAAGAGACAATCCTCTCTCCCCCACCCCACAACAGCCATGGTGACAGCTGCGGTTACAGGCAACAAGGTTCTTGGCCCTCTTCACTGGGCCTCTGCTTGTAACTGGGAGGGAGCTGGACCATGGTCCCAGAATGGGCAGTCTGGAGGGGGCCAGAGGACAGAAAGCTTTGGGCACCCAGCCCCACCCCCGCTCTCTGGGGCTTGGCTTAGCCAGGCCTCCACATCTGGCAACAGAAACTTGAGCCTCAAGCGTGTCATCTTCATAAGACAACAGCTCTGTCTCCAAAACACTTTCCCATATGTTTGCTTCCAGCCCTGAGAAGATGGGTGGGGCAGGATAATTAACCCTGATTTGCAGATGGAGAAATGCAGCTCAAATCTGGAATTTGGGAGCAAGATTCTGGGAGCAGGAGTTGGTGGTGAAGTGAAGATGGGAACAGAGGAGTCGCGTCCTAGAGAAAGCCTGGAAGAAACGGGGACAGGAGGGAAGAGTGTGCTCTCCCCTTCTCTACCCTACCCCCAAGCAAGCAGAAAAAAGGCCCCTGCTAAAGTTAAGCACTCAAATTTCTAGGATGAGGGTAATAATGAGGACATCAGCTAACACTGAACACTTAGTGTGTGCAGTGCTCTGATCTAATGGCTTCACATGTTCATTTATTCCTCACAATACACCATTGCTGTTATGACTTCCATTTTAATAAAAGGAAACTGCTGTTTGGCCTTGTCCTTTCCAGGCTGTGTCTGTGTAAGGAGGTTGAACCCAGAACCGTCGCTGACTTCCTACAACTAGGTTTATAGAGCCCAACACAGAGAAAAATTGAGTCAAGCCAATAGATTGGGGCTATGCCCTGACTGCCACTGTTGCCTCGGGTTGGTCAAGGAATACAGGAATAAGAAAGAGACATTTATGTGGATGGGGAGGGAGTGAGCCATGGGATTCTGGGAAATAGGCTCTCAGAACTTGCTTCTGAGCCTTATATGGGGGAGCCCTGCTTTATATCCTAACTCAACACCCTAGCAGAGTCATAGAGCTCATGGTTTGGGGTATTTCAGGTCAAGTGGCAGAAGGATGACATGGATCACAACCTTAACTTCTTTTCGGTGTCATCTGATGGAAGGATCGTGTCTTGGACACTTGTGAAGGTACCTGATAACCAGAGTGGGTTGCATAGGGTGGATGGGGGCTAGAGGAAGCTGGATGGCAAAAGGCAACACCCCCAGGTCTTCTGATCAAGCCTAACCCATTCCTTCCCCCATCCTGTTCGCTACAGAGTGAGCTGGTTCACACAGATGTTATCAAGCTCAAGGTGGAAGGCAGCACCACAGAAGTTCCAGAGGGGCTGCAGCTGCACACAGTGGGTAGGAGCCCCATCCCTCCAAGCCATGTCACTCAAGTCCTGAGGGGTAGCATCTTGCCAGTCCTTCCTGTCCCACTTGTGCTGAAGCCCGGACCAGAGGCAGTGGGAAGCCTGACCTGTCAAAGTCCTTGGCCAGTGAAGACACTCTCCATTCCTGCAGGTCCCCTCTTGTTTGCAGACCCTGCTCCTGTTTACGAGATCAGGTGCTGTTATGCAGATCCATCCCTGTTTATGCAGATGAAGGCCCTGTTTACCCAGATCCCATCCCTGTTTACTCAAATCCTATCCTGTTTATGCAGACTCTATCCCTGTTTGCACAGACCACGTCCCTGTTTGCCAACCCTGTCCCTGTTTACCTTGACCCCGACCCTGTTTAACTCAATCCCCCCTTGTTTACCCAGGCTCCCATTCCTGCTACAGAACCCCTGGCTAATTGCAGAGTCCTAACAGCTTGGGACAGGCAGGCCAGAGGGCCGGTTTCTGTTTGCCAAGCCTTCTCCCAGCCCTCATAGGGGCCCCAGGTCAATCTGCCCTGCCCCACCCTGAGTCACCGCTGCCAAGGAGAGGTGGTGCTTGAAGGCTCCTCTCAGAGCTGGGCTGAGGCTGTTTCCTCTTCTTCCAAGGCTGTGGCACTGCCTTTGACTTCCACAAAGAGATCGACTACATGTTCCTAGTGGGCACAGAGGAGGGAAAAATCTACAAGGTAAGGCAGTACTGCCCGTGTCAGCTCCTCATGGTGCCACTTGGGCCTGACCACCTGGGGAGCATCAAGTACTTAACAAATCCTGTTCTGACAGATCTTAGTGCTCATCAGTTGTGTAAGGCTTCTTGGGTGAAGAAAATGCATTTCTTAGTCTGCTTGGGTGGCAGCAAAAGATGGAAAATCTAGAGGGTGACTTTAGCCCAACCCAACTTCTTCCCTCTGGGATGTCCCCCTTTTTGGGGGGTGGAGGCAGAGGTGGGAATGGGGCTTAGGGGTTGGAACATTCTGGGAAGACTTCCTGGAGGAAATCTGACTAGAGTGGGGCTTTGAAAGCTAGGTAACATGCACATTGATCTCTGAATACCGGGTGCATCCCCGCTGGCAGGACACCACCTCACAGCCAGTTTCTGCACTGTGTCAGTGTTTGTAGGTGAACATCCCTCTGAACCTCCATCTGTCCAGAAATAGCTCTGCTGCAAGCTTTTCTTAGGCTCAGAGACTCAGAATGTTAATTACAGGCAGCCTCCCGGGAGCCCCTGAGGCCTAGCCAGAGCTGGTCTGAATGCAAAAGAGTCCCCTCCCCCTCTCCACCCCTCCCGCTGGCAGCCTGGGAGAGACAGGGAAGGAGAGACCTGTCAGTCACTCTGACTCCCAGAAGGAGGGAGAGGCTGTCAGGTCTGGGCCAGGAGGATCAGAGTGGGCTCCTGGCTGGGCACCTGCTCTTATCTGTTCAAGGTAGAACGTTTCTCAATGCTGCAAAGATGCTATCTAGGCTGTGGTAGACCCAGTGCTCCTGGCTGCCCATGGGCCCTTGCCTGGAGAAATGGCAAGGTGTCTTCGTGCACAGGGCCTGAGATAGCAACGATGCTCTGGAGTGGGGAGAATAGGATTTTTCTCACCCATGGGCAGACTGTAGCACTTCCGCCATGCGGGAAGGCTTCCCTCCTGGCCCAAATCCTAAGTGCTGCCTTTCTGAGTATGTGGAGAGTGGGAAAAACAGCCTGCAGCTTCACTCTAGCTTAGCTGTGACAGTGATGTGGGATACAGACCGAAGGGAGGCACAGATTCTGACCCCCAGGACTCCAAGAAAGTAGTAGCAGCTGACTTTCCTCTCATTTTGTCCCCTGACTTCCCCCTACCCACCTTGTCATGGCCCCAGTGCTCGAAATCTTACTCTAGCCAATTCCTGGATACCTATGATGCCCACAACATGGCCGTAGATGCTGTGACTTGGAACCGATACCACACCAAGGTCTTCATGTCCTGCAGCTCTGACTGGACAGTGAAGATCTGGGACCACACCATCAAGTGAGGAGCCTGCCTTTCCCCAGGACTCTCCCCTGGGCTCTGGCACTATAAGCCTTGGGTCATGGGCTTCACTCTTCTGTCACTGCAGGACCCCCATGTTCATCTATGACCTGAACTCAGCTGTGGGTGATGTGGCCTGGGCTCCATATTCCTCCACAGTGTTTGCAGCAGTCACCACAGACGGGAAGGTGAGTGGCCCCTTCCTGACCCCACAGACCCTTTGCTGGGGACAGGTTGAAGTATCTCAGGGTCTCCCTCCTCAAGAGCCAGGCCATCAAGGGTCCAACCAAAAGAGGAATCATTCATCCCAGGAAGCCTCAAGGAAAGCATGGGACTGTTCACATCAGAGGAGAGAGCACTCTGAAGGATGATATGCCATCTTCTCTGAGGCCCCTGGAGAGAGAGCTAGTGAGTGGCAGGGGCAGCCCAGTTAAGGGAGATATATGCCAGAACTGACCTGTGTGATGAGTCTGTCTATAAAGTAATGAGGTCCCCATTTCTGACAGTTTGGAAGCTGATGCTGAGAAGGGGCTTCAGTGGGGTGAGATGGAGGGGTCTGTTCAACACTGAGGATTACTGAAAGCTCAGAAACATTTCTTAAGCATATTCTTATATCTATTTTCCTTATGGACTTTAATATAAACTGAAACATACCTGTTGGCCCAAGGAATGAATACTGTGATTAAGAAATCATCCTAAAGTTAGCCGGTCATCTAGTCCCTAAACAGATGTTTACTAAGAGCCAACTATGGTGCCCAGCTCCAGCAATTCAGACACCTGCTCCTATGAAGTTTATATGATAGTAAAAGGAAAAGAGACAAAAAGCTCATACTGTTAAGGGAAGAAAATTAAAAGAAGGTGATATGTGAATGCAAATGTTTATTATGACAGCATTTTTCATCCTAGCCAAAGAATGAAACATCGCAGTGCCTATCAATTGATGGACATAGAAAATATACTGTGCACGCAAAAGGCTTGCTGTTCAGCAGTGACAAGGAATAGCATTTTGATATACACGAAACATGGTGACCCTTGAAAACCACACTAAGTAAAATAAACCAGATACAAAGAGACAAATATTATATGATTCCATTTACATAGTATATCCAAAATATAACTGCCTAGTATATAGTACAGTATTCTAAAATATGCAAATCAATAGACATGGAAAGTAGATGGTGGTTGCCTAGGGGTAGAAGGGTTGGGAGAAAATGGGATGTGACTGCTAATGGATACAAAGATTGTTTTAGGGGTGAAAAAAGAATTCTCACACTGGTTATGGTGATGGTTACACAACTGAATATATTAAAAACAAATTTTATAGTATGAGAATTAAATCTCAGTGAAGCTGGTGAAAAAGAGAGAAGAAAAGGGTTGGATAGTTTCTCACAGTGGTCAGGAAAGGCTTCTCTTAAGAGATGACTTTCAAGTTGAGAGCTGAGTGACAGGGGCCAGCCTAGGAAGATGGGTAGGGGAGCTGTCCAGACTGGGGGAGTCACTGGATCAAACACCTGAGGTGGGGATGAGCTTGAGGAGGGGGTCCAGGAACCTAGAAGGCAATGTGGATTGGGGGTAGGGTGCAAAGGGAGATCTGGGGATCACACTGAGGAGGTGTAATTTCATTTATAATGCAAAGGAGACTCTGGGAAGATTTTAACTTTTTGAAAGAGAAGTTTGGCTGCTGCATGGATGATGGACTGTGGAAGCCCGAGTGGGAGCAGGAAGCCTTGAAAGGAGACTGCCACTGTTGTCCAGGAAAGAGTTGGGAGTGGTATGAACCTATAGTGAGGCAAAGATAACAGCAGACATTTACTGAACACTTGTATGTCAAGCACAATTTAGACACTTCACATCTATTAATTGGGATAAAACCTGGCACTGTCATTTACTAAAAAGTTAGAGAACTTCTCTAAGTCTTTATTTATAAACTAGGGATAATACTAACAGAACCACATTATAAAGTGGAATATAAGTAGATGGTGCAAACTTGGTACATGATAAGGATATTAGACTAGACAAGTGGCAGCTGTTATTGTTTTTACATAGACTTAACATTCCCCTTAAACTTTTATCCTCCATCACCCAAAGGAAAACATACATAGAGAAACAAAACTCCTGCTCCCTCTCCCTCTCCCACTGTTTCCAGCTCTAGTGTGCTATCGGCCTTCTGCAGAAAATCCAGAGGCTGGTTCCTGTGAGGATGTGGCCAGAGGCCTCATTACTCCAAAGCATGCTGAGACTTGGTCCCTCTATAGGTCCATGTGTTTGACTTGGCCATCAACAAGTATGAGGCCATCTGCAATCAGCCCGTGGTTGCCAAAAAGAAAACTAAGATCACCCACTTGGAGTTCAACCCCATCTATCCCATCATCATTGTGGGGGATGACCGTGGGCACATAACCTGCCTCAAGCTCTCACCCAACTTGCGCAAGATGCCAAAGGTATGGGTGCTAGGAGTCTGGGCTACTGCAGAGATAAGGGATGGTGTGGACAAACTAAAGGGGAAGAGAAAAGGGTGAACTCAGGTTTCTGACTTAGAAGACCCACTGTGAAGATGGTATCATTGCATAAATAAGGACCACAGAAGGTGAAGGGGGAAAAAGTCAGTTTTAACATGCTGCATCTGGGAGGAGACCCTGGGAGATGACCAGTGAGCTGTGGGTCTGAAGCCAGAGAGAAGCATGAGTGATGATATCAGCAGCTCACTGGAGTAGGGGTGCTGTGCGTATGACAGGCCAGCCTGGTAGGGGTCTTGAGACTTAGCCAACGCATCATCATTAGACTTTGCGGAGCTGCAGTCCAAATGGTCCTGGAACTGGGAACTGTACTCATGGAAGGAGAAAATGAGCTGTGAGGAGGCTAACTAGGTCAGCAGCTACACAGTCCTCTTTTTGAGCTCTGGTTTCTGCTTCTAGGGTCTCAATTGATCAGGGAACCCTGCTTAGAGCCCAAGGGCCCCAAATATAGGCTCTAGAGCTCTGAACCATGGCCTTAGCCTAGATCTGAGTGGCAATTCAGACTTCAAAACCTAGACTTCGAAGGCCAGGTCTTAGAATCCAGAGCCCCAGGACAGAACTTAAAAATTCAAAGCCCAAGAATCTGGAGACCAGTCCTGCCCATTTGTGTATGAAGAGTGAAACATGGTTCTTTATTTTCTGTCAGGTTCTGGACCAGGATCAGTGCTGGGCCTGTGATTGCCCTAATAACTGTACCACCTGGTTGCAATTTATGGCATGAATACAGCTTGAGGCAGGGCAGGAGCCTGTCTTCTTTAGCTACTGATTTCTCCCTACAATGCCCTCACCTAGGCAAGGGCCATATGTAGCCTCTAGTGCTGGCTTGGTCTATCCCCCACCATGGCTTGGAGGGAAGGGCTGGGAGAATGGCTGGGCCTATAATTGTAGCCAGCTGGGGGGGTGGGGGGACTTGGCTATAAATATTCTGAAGGCTGCTAAGCGCCTGCAGCTGTGGCCCAGAGGCTGTGGTGGGCTTGGGGAGGGGGGGTGTCAGGCGGGATCTGAATCTCTTTGCTGAGCCCAGCTAGTTGGCCTCAGGAGGGGGAACCAAGGCAGCATGGATTTGTGGAACAGATAAAATCTGTTCTTAATTTAATGAGTAGAGAGGGCTAGGCTTAAATTGGCAGAGCTGGACAGCCCTCTGGGGGGATGATGGTCACTCTTTGGGGGAAGAGCACAGCCATGACACCATGAGAATAGCAGATATGGGGGGAGCCCACCCATTTTGATTTGAGGAGGCAAGAATTTCCCAATTCCACCTCCTCAAAGAGCAAGGGTCAGTCATGGCTGGGAATGTTAGGCTGTGTATCTGTGTTTTCCATCTCTGAGGACCTAAGCAGGGGGAAGCTGGGGGGTTGGTACTTGGGTGGATTAGGGGTTTCTGTGAAATTTACATTTGACTCTATCAGCAGCTAATTGAGTCATACAAAAGAAGTCTTCTGGGCATCTCTATTGCCCTTCCCTAGAGGGATTACCACAGAGGCTTGGGTGTCCCTGCTCAGGGAGCTTCTTGTGATTGCTGTCAGGCATCAAGGACTGTCTTTCTCTAACTACTGTTCAGATGGGAAACTGAAGCTCAAAAAGGCAAGAAGACAAGCTATCATATCTGCATCTTGTGCTCTGAATAACTACTACGAAGACCATAATAAGCAATGTATTAATTATTTTAACTGTCCTACTAACCTTTTTTGATACTGTTTCATTGCTATTTTATCTTTTTTTCTCTTTAAAATGATTTAAAAAAAAAAAAAAGGCCAAAAATAAAAAAACCAAACAGGCAAGGAACAGCTGGGTGTGGTGGCACATACCTGTAATCCCAACACACACGACTGAGGCAGGAGGATTTCCATGAGCTCAAGGCCACCCTGGGGTACATAGTGAGTTAAAGGCCAATCTAAACTACATAGCAGACTTTATCTCAAAACGAAAACATAGCAAGGCAAGGGATTCACCCAAAATCATGCAGGGAGTTCAGGACAGCTGGAACTAAAAACCAGGTCCAACCCAGGCATGGTGACACATGCCTGTAATCTCAGTACTTTGGGAGGTTGAGGCAGAGGAAGCCCAAGTTTGAGCCCAGCCTGGGCAACTCAGTGACTTAGCAAGAACCCATTTCAAAATAAAAAGTAAAAGGGCTTAGGGTACAGTTCAGTGTGAAGGCCTTGGGTTCCATTCCCAGTAAAGGGGGTCCCTAAATCCCAGGGGATGGGATGAGGCTAACACATCCCTAGCTTAATTCAGAAGGGAGAGTGGGAAGAGAGAAAAGGATCTTTGTCTTCTGCCTCAGGAGTGTAGAGGTGAGCTGGGTGATGAGAGGCCCTGAGCTGTAAGGGGCTAGTGTAAGAGATCTGGCAGGAGATGCAGGTGGACAATGGAGTTGTATATGGTGTCAGCACCCAGGATGAAGTCAGGAAAGGGCCTCCTGGAAGTAAGGGTGATCTGGCTGTGGCATATCACTTCATTGATCACCAGGGTAGATTGTGGCTGATCTGGCTGGTGAGGCAAGTGTCCCCTTCCTCTCTCAACATTCCTGGTACATCGCTCCCAAAGCTGCATGCTCAATTGAAGAGGACCACCCCCAATAGAGGATCATTCCTCAGTCAAAAGTACATGAGAAGCTGCTTTCCCTTGCTACAACCTCCAAATAAGCATTGGAGGAAAGGGCCTCCTATCCCTGCACTGTCCCCCTACTTACAGCTCAGGCGAGACCCAGGGGCAGGCAAGGCTGCAACAGGTGCCAGTGAGCAGTGTGCATAGGTAGTTGACTGGGTAAAGGTCCACAAGCCAAGGGAAGGCAGGAAATGGCAACTGCCTAGCTTACCCTAGCAAAGCTTGCACCCGGGAAGTAGGACAGATTCAACTGGTGTGTCTGCCATGGAGTTCTCCAGGATTGTGCATGACACTCCAGCATCTCAACTCCTTTCTCTCAGGGCCCAACTTACCAGTAGAAGCATTACAATGTTTTGTTAGTAGGCTGAAGGTCCTAAACTCAGCATCTTTTCTGAAGGACAGTCCCAGCCAATGATAGCTAGTCACATGGGATATTGTCTTCTTTCATGGCTCTCCTGAGATCTTCATCTGGGGTATGTCTGACATAGCAGGTCGGGACTCTAAATCACATCCTCCCCTGAATCTGACCTAAAAGCATTCAGTAAGAGCACTAGATGAGTGTCTCTGTGGCCTTGACTACACCTCTCAACCTCTTGGAAACACACATATGTGTGTTCCAACAGCCAGAGCCTGGCCCTCCTCAGAACTCTAGCCTGGTAGGTTCCTTTTCCCACTCCTGCTGGCAACAAGACACTGTTCAACTGAAGTTTAGGACTACAGCTGGACGCCTTCTTACAGGCTCTTAGCTGGTCCCTGGGTTGCCTAACCTGAGTTGGAAAAGGATCACATGGAAGGGGGAGTAGCAGAGTCACAAGATTTACTTGACAAGGGAGGAGTCAGGGCTGGCACCCAGCAAGAGCCAATTCATTCTTACTGATCTTCTTCCTTGGATGTTTCCTCTCCCCAGGAAAAGAAAGGGCAGGAAGTGCAGAAGGGGCCAGCTGTGGAGATCGCAAAATTGGACAGACTGCTGAATCTGGTGAGGGAAGTGAAAACCAAAACCTGAGGGCCTGGCCTCAGCCCCTGCTCCATTTGAACTCAGGATTTACAGCTCCTGGGCTGGGAAGCATAGTGCCCAAGCACTCAGCAAATAAACCAAGTCCTGATCAGGTCGCAACATTTGGTGTTCTCATTCTGTTCCCCAAGATCTCAGCATCTTCCAGGGTTAAGGTGATGGTAATCATCATTACTGTGTTATTTGATACAAATAAATCTATGTTTGAAAGCTCATTCTATACCTTTAATTTTGCTACCACAGGGTCTTTAGCAAGAGAAGAAAATCTCAGGGTAGAGCCATAGTTCCATTTATTTTCCAGCAAACAGTGAGAAGACCAGGGGAGGGGCCCAGCCTAGACACCCTCCCATTATTGCCATGGGTTCCAGTTTGCTTCTCTGACCTAGAAGATCCAAAGGCGCTGAGCCTAGGAAAAGGTAAACCCAGCCCTTGGCCCTTGGGATGGAGCAGAGTCCAGATGGCCCTGGCCCCTAGCACCAACTCCTAAACTCCCACCCCAGGCCTATCTCTCTAAGACCACCCAAGCCTCTTTTGCAGCCAGACTGGCTAGAATCTGGGCTGCTGGGTCCAGATCCAAGCAGGCTAGACTGAGTTTTGGACCCGAGGCTGATTCAACTCTGATATCCTGATTCCAGGCTCTGAGTGGGGTAGACTCAGGTCCCAGGCTCCACAGTAGACCAGGGGCCTTCAGGGCTGCAGCAGGTAGCTGCCTTCATGGCTAGGCTTCTGGGGTGGTGGTGCCTTCTCAGGACAAGGACCAGGGCTGGAGTTGGGACTGGATTCAGATAGAGAATCGACGTCGGCAGAGCGAGAGTGGCAGGCCCAGCACAGAATGACCCAAAGCAGCAGCAGCAAGAAGCCTACGAGGCCGTTGCAGACGATGGCGATGAGGGCCCCTTGGGAGATGGCTGCCCCCATGACAGGCAGCACCCTCAGACCAGCACAGAGAGCTGAGCTGCCTCAATGGCAAGGCCCATGCCGAGTCAGAACTCCGGTATGGTCAGCTTTCCAAGGAGGCTGTCCTGTCTGCACACTGAGTGATTCCCAGGTGGTGCAGATGCCCGCCTGCAGTCGTGAGCCTGGGGAGTACAGAGCAGAGGAAGGGTGGTGAGGATGAAGGAACGCGGAGGCCTAGAGGTGTACTCCCATCACATCTTTGGCCACCCTCGCAGTGGACCTCAGGTCCCAGCAAGCTCAAATACCCACCAGAGCCAATACCCCCATCCTCAGGCCTAGCCCAGGCACCTGTGTGTAGCCAGAGTGGAGAAGCTAAAGTAGGCAGCCTCTTAACTCATTCTCCTTAGAACTGGTGGGTACAGCCTGGCCTTGCCCAACAAGCTTTGGCCCTCAAAAGCACCCCATTGGTCAGGAAGTGAGGGAGCTCAAGGCCCAGGAGGAAGTGGATTTTGATCAGTTTTGGTGTGCCCAGGGCACAACCTCTCTCGGGACTGCAGCCAGCCAGCCCAGGAGACCTGCAGAGGTGCCAGCTCACACAGAGGGAACTTTGTGGAGGCCCTGGCAGACATGTGTGGGTTCTGTGTATCCAAGGCTGTGTACCTAGGTGTGCCTCTCCATGGATCTGTCTGTAGGTCAGGTGTGTGTCTGGCTGTCCTACTCTGTCTCTCTGTTCCCTAGCTGGATGTGCTTCTGCCTCTGCATACCCACCTCTGTGACTGTGTGTGGCTGCCTGGCTCTCTGGCTATCTCTTCGCATTTGTCTCTGTGTGTCCTCATCACTAAGTGTCTGTGTGTGTCATGTGTGTCTCGTTCTTCTCTCTGTCCCTGCGTATCTCTCTGTCCCTCTCTTCTCAGCTGTGTGTCCCTCTGTCTTCGTGGACGTGGACGTGTCTCTCTCCCTTCTCCGTAGAGGCTGTCTCGGTGGCTCTGTGCTTCTCCCGCGTCTCTGCCTTTGTGTCTGTCTCTCCTCCAGCGCGTGTCTGTCTCCGTGTGAGTATGTGTCTTCGCCTCCGTCTCCGGTCTCTGGGTGTCGTCCCCCGTGCCCGTGTGAGGAGCACCCCCCCCTTACCTGAGTTCAGCACGGTGCGCGCCTGCGGGAGGGTCCGGGGCAGAGAATGCTCAGCGCGACTGAAGCTCGGGAGGGGGGCGGCGAGCGGCGGGAGGCGGGAGGCGGGCAGGGGAGACGTCCGCTCCCCCGGGCCTCCCCCTCAGCCGCTCCCGCCGCGGCGCGACCGGGGCGGCCTCTGCCGCGGGCGGTCTGCGGCGAGCCGGCACCTCCTCCCCTGGGGCGGCGCCTCCTCCACTGCCGCGGCCGCTAGCTCACTCGGGAGGCGGCGGCGGGAACGGCGCGGGGTTCGGCTACGTTCGGCTGGGCTCGGCTACGGCCGGGGACCGTCGGCTGAGCTCGGTCGAGCTCGGCCAGCCTCAAAAACAGCGAAGAGTCCCGCCTCCTGGGTGGCCGGCGGCTTGCTGCCTGTGGGGGCGGGGCCACCTCCGTGCGGCTGCAGCATTCAATTGGCTCAGCGCGCCAAATTTCCGCGCCATTGGTCGTGCCCGGGGTGGGACAGGACCGCCCACGGCGCTGGGGGTGGGGGTCCTGAAGGGGCTACTTTGTCTGGATGTGTCCAGGGAGAGGGCGGAGGATGGGGGGCCGAGGCCCACCTTTTTGCAGGGATTTCGTGTAGCTTCTACACCTGGAATTGCTACACACTATCTGAGAAAGGCGAACACCACGTCGGAAGAGACCACTGCTATGTGGGCAAGGTCTCCACCAGTAAGAAGGCCTCCCACACCCAGAGGAGACCGAACCTGCACAGCTGGGAATCCTCCCAGTCATCCCGCACAGCCCACGCCCACCTGTATTCACGCTTTAGAGGGTTTGTCTTTGGCCCCTGGCCTTAGGAGGTGGTGTGAAGATCTCTGGCCGCACAGCCCAAGTTCTTCAGCCGCATTTAGTGAGTTCCTGCCCAGTGTTGGTTGCTGGTCTGTGTTTTGCTGTGCTGTGAGGTAGCTTGGGACAGAAAGGAGTGGGGTACCCTGAAAAATGGTTCAGACCTGGTTGAAAAAGTCTAGGCCTGGTGAAAGTCCTGACTCACTCCATCTTAGAAGCACTCCCAAGAGGAAGAAGTTCAGACAGGAGCAGTCAGGTGGGATTTCCTTTCCCCAACCCTCAAGTGCTAGTTATTATTTCCCCCCTAGGGATGAATCCAGGCTCTGCATATGCCGAACCTGTGCTCTACCACTGATCTACACCTCCATCCTCCCAGTGTTTTCTGGAGTGTTCTCTAGGCTCTCTTCTCATCTCACACATCCAGTATTCTCCATGGTTCATCACATCTCTGAAGCTGTTTTCAGGAAGACTCATAATGCTCCCAAATCCAGCCTGAACTTTTCTTTGGACTTTTAGACATATGTAACCAAGTGCCTACCGATATCAGGGTGGTATTGATCTCTGGGTCTGCCACTTACTTTTTTTTTTTTTTTTCAAAACCGGGGATTGAACTCAGGCCCTTGCACTTTCCAGGGAAGAGTTTATTCTACTGAGCCATCTCCCCGGCCCCTTGCCACTTACTTTATGACCTTGGGCAAGTTTCTTACCCTCCTAATATCAGCTTCCTTGTCTGTAGAATGGTTATGGTAGTCATGACCTGTCAGAATTTTCACTCATTCACTTCTATCAAACCAACCACATTTCAGTAAATGTCAGCTGACAACCCCAAGGACCAGGTGGCTCAAGGGAGCCCTTTCAGTGCTGTGAAATTCAGTTATGACCCCTTAGAAATCCACATGCTATATTATAAAGAAAAAAGAGGATAAAATAATCTGAAAGACTGAGTCATCCAAAGCTACTGACGTAGAGACTGTCTAAAATAAATTGTAGACCCTATGGAGTTGACCAGATGGATTAATTTTAGCTTTTCCCCTTGCAACCCAGCAGGGCGAAGGTATTATAGGAAAGATCACATCAGTTATAGGAAACAGAGGAGACATACTGTTGCACATCTGAGTGTAATATGAGTGAATTTTGTGACCTAGCTACAGGAGTTCAGATTTTGTCCTGGTAATAGCCGAGAGCCATTGAAGAATTTTGAGCAAAGGAGTAATATGATCATATGTAGAAATTAGGAGGGTGATTTGGGCTGTTGGTGGAAATGGGTATTGAAAGCATTTGAGAACAAAGAAAGAGGAGAGGCCAAAGTGATGGGAGATAAGAGTAAAGCGAGCAAGAAAGTACTGAGGATATTTGGGAGCTACACATGTGACTGGGCAGAATTCTGCCCAAATTCAGTGGGCAGAATTTAAGAGACTTAGAGAGTAGGGAAGGTAAAAGGGAATAATCTGGGAATGCTGCTAGTGGTTGGTGATGCTGTGATACCATTTACTGGGATGGGGAATATGTGAGAGTTTCATCAGGGTTCTTGGGCAGGGGGATGATTCCTTTTGGAAATGTTGAATTTGAGGTAGCAGGACACTCAAGTGGAGATATTCTATAGGCACTTGGATAAACACATTTGGAGAGAGGCCCTCCAGATGTGTTTATTTTGTAAGTTACTAGCCATAGAGTGATAGTTTAGCTAGAAAACTAGATGAGCTCACCTAGGGAGAATGAGTACGGGTTTAAGCAAAAAAGGATACATTTGAAATCAGATACTGAATCCCAAAGACAAGGATGTTTGAACTGGAGTGACCACTGGAACTGAGAGACTTAAAAGCTGTCAGGGATCTCACCACATCTCTCATCTGTTACTTTCTGCTTGTTTCCTCATTTCCCTCCCCTGCCTTCTGCCCCTGCCTCCTGCCTCTGTCCCTACCCCTGCCCCTGCCCCAAGCCCCTGCCACTCCATCTCCAGGATGGTTTCCAATACTTTCTGGTCCATGTGTTCAAAATCATGACTTAAGACAATTCCAGGTATTAAAATCTTATTTGTCTACGCATCTAAAGAGACTGGTTATAGTGGCATCTGTGCTGCTGCTTCTTTTGGATGCAATTTTCAAATTCCTCAGAAAGTTTTCCAATTGGGTCAACTTAGATGCTTAACTTTAAACTGATCAACGGTGGTTAAGGAATAAAGATGGAGTTCATTAACATGATTACTGATGGGTAGTAGGAGTGAGGTGGTTTGCAGGGGAGGAATTGTGAAAAAGCACAATGGCAGACACTCACTACAAACCACCTTTTTCTGTCATATAGATACGTGTGTGTGTGTGTGTGTGTGTGTGTGTGTGTGTGTATTTTTTCATTAACTTAATTCTTTCTGTGATCCTGGTTGCAAACCAAGTTGGGTGAGGACCAAATCAAATTCATTGGGATCCAATGAACTGCCTTGAGGCTACCGTCAAGCAGTCCCCTTCCACAAAATGAGTCCTGATATCTAGAAATGGGAGTAATGGAATGAAAAAAAAAAAAAAAGCACTGTGCATTGGTCACAAATCAACAGCATCATCTTATGTTTTTTGGCTATGAATAATAATGAAAATGATGGGACTAGAAAACCTCCTGTCATCTGTTAGTTGACTCATTTCTTTGGCTGAGAAGTTCTGTCAGCCAATCTGGCTGCCTCAGGTTTTGTCCAGAATAAGATTCCTTATCCAGTGATTTGAGAAGGCCATGTGGCGTTCTTTGTGCCACTGAATGGTACTAGTACTGCACTTTCTGGTCATGTCTTAAGGATTGTCCTTGAGATTGATCAATCATAGCTCTCTGCATTTATGAGACTGAGTGTGGAAAAGCCCTCCCCATAATACAGTGTGTGTGTGTGTGTGTGTGTGTGTGTGTGTGTGTGTGTATGAGCATAGAAATAAGGGCCTGGGGCATGGATACAATTGCATACAAGTCTCTTAAAACCATAATTAGCAGCCTATCAATTTTATTTGGGGGCCTTTCATCTACTAGTAACATATTTCATTGACTCTAAGAGGCATTTTTTCCTAGTTAAACCACTCGAATCAGAATGTACTTTTTCAATTGATGGCATGCCATAGTTTTGTGGCCTCTTTTTTTTTTCTGAGGAGTTCACAAGATAACTTGCTTCTTGTAATCGATGGAATCTGAGATTTATTAAATATAGTAATTTTGTCAGCCAGAGTTCTTTTTCACAAATAATAGAATATGCTGTGGATGGTTGAATTAGAAAAGGAATTTGTTAAAAGAGATTTTTCCGTTCATTCTCCCTGAATTGTTAAGAGGACTGGGGAAATGGACTTGAGAACAAGCTTCTAGCAACAGCACCTGAATGATACCACACAACCTGACAAGGAAACCACAGCCACTACCACTCTAAGTACTGGGTACCAAGAGTTCAATTTGACTGCCAGTTTTAAAGTTCTATGGCACTTCTGTGGTAGGAACTCATTATTGCAACCACTGGGAAACCACTACTGTTGCCACTACCACCCCCAAGGCTGGACACTTATGTTACTACAGCAGCAGAAATCAAAGCCATGTGTCCAACCTGCTCCCTACTAATGTCACTCAGGATTAGCTAGATAGCACAGTAATTACAAACAACCCTCAAATTTCACTGGCTTCAAACAACACATCGGTGGGTATGGTGGTGCATGTAATCCCAATGCTCAGGAGGCTGAGGCAGGAAGATTGCTTTGGAGTTCTCGTCTTAAAAAAAGAAAAGAAAAATAACTCACATATATATTTCTTGCCCTCAGGTGGGGGTGGGGAAGGAAAATCTTGCTACTGTGGTCACTAAAGCATCTGAAAAGGATATTGAAGCTGGGGATATGGCTCAGTAGAATAAGCACATGCCTGACAAACAGAAGTGCCTGAGTTCAATTCCCGGTTCTGCCAAAAATAAAAAATTTAAATTTAAAAAAAGGATATCGAAGCCTCCACTATCTTAAGATGATACCTTCCTGACATTAGTTTTAGTTTGCTATGGCAGAAGAGAGGAAAAGCATTCACTAGCTTCTGTTTACATTGCGTTGATCAAAACAAATTTCATGGTCATCAAGAGAAACCTAACAACCAGGGACACAGGCAGTACAATCTCCCTGGTCCTCTGAAGAAATATTGGCGAATAGCAGTGACTTTTACCACACTTATATTGTTTGCTTCCACATGCATTTAAGTGCTGCAAGAGATTCTGTGATTTTTTATTTTATACTGAGGAGATAGAATTTTTAGATGGGAACTTCCTAATTGGAAAACTTTTTAGGCTGGTTATGGTGGTGCATGCCTGTAGTCCCAGTACTTGGAGGCTGAGGTAAAAGTTCCAGTGAGTTCAAGGCCATGTGCTACAAAGGGAGCTCAAGGTCGGCCTGGAATACAAAGCAAGACCCTGTCTCAAAAAAAGCTAGAGATGTAGCTCAGTGCAAAGGCCCTGGGTTCAATCCATGATACTATGCATAGGAACACACACACACACACGCACAAGCACACTCATGCACACACGC